TGTGTATATATATATATATATATATACACACACACGTATCCATTTAGATATTATAAAAATAATATATATATATGTAGAGATAAAAATAAACCACTTCTGTTATAGTGATCTGTTGTCCCAAGTTTGATTTTTATATTCATAAAGATATAAGGATTATGCACTATACTCATAACTGTGATATTAAAGAGATACACAATGTGAATGGAGTTAATTATCATACGGACTGTGATTATCATCAATCAATAAACTTTGTACACACCTTTAAGCATTTACTTGCAAAGTTTCATTTAAAGAGAAATTTTACTTGGAACCTTCTGGCTGATTCATGAATGCTTAAAGTTGGTGCATGTAGTATAGTTTTAAAAGTGCTAAAAAGGTTTTCTTTAACATTTTGTTTAAGGTATATTGGACATTAATCATTTAATTGGCTTAACATGTGATTTTGTAAGTGTAAAAAAAAAAGTCTGGTAGAATGACAATGTATCCCATGGTTAATTAGTGTAAAGTTTTTTTCAAAGTTATGGTGTCACTTTGGTGTGAGCATTTGTATACTCTACCCAGTACAGTACACTTGAAAATAAAACTTGCATCATTTTTTACAACAGAAAAAGTTTAGTTCATGAAATACTGCTTCTACATACTCATTTAAATGTTAAATTAGATTATTAAATATACATAATCTGTAGTTCTGTTTTTGGTAATGTAATTTCATAGGTTCTGTATATCATAATACAAAAACAACAACAAAAAAGCTATACATTTCATTAACTACTTAGGATTCCAGCCTCAAAACAAATTGGTTTACACTTTTTTTAAATTGAGAAACCATTCTGTTTGATGATGCAAGCTCTCTAAAGAAAAAAAAAGACTTTCAGTACAGTTTCAAACAAAAGTTACAATGAAAATATGCTTTAAAGCTTGTTGTTTTTTTGGTAAATGTCATCTCCTCCCAATGCAGATACAGTCCTTGCATTAAAGCTATTTTACATTCTTAATTAAATAACTGTTACTATGACTTTATTTTTTACATATTACTCTCACTTGTTGTCCAACTTTATCTTGTTTCTGCTTTTTACAGTTGTGTGTAATTCATCTACAAGTACCTGCTATGTCTAAAAATATGTACACATTGATTTCTTTTTTTTTACATTTCATCTCTTGATATTAACATTTAATTGCATTTTTTTGACAGCATAAATAAAAAAATCAAACCATTCAACACTGTCATCAGTTCCACTAGCATGTCAAACAACTTTGTATTCTGTTAGTCAATAGTGCTACCTTAGTTTACAGGAATTTTTTAAAATAACACAAGGTATTGATAAGATAAAATTAAGAAACAATTGTGAAAACTGAGCACTAACAGCTTGATAAGTTTATATATACATAATAAATTTAACTTGGTTAACTAAAATATTAGAATGACAGTTAGTTTGAATATTTTAAGTTGTAAAAAGAGGCTTAAAGCCTTGGACATGTATAATATGTTGTGTGAAATTCAAATTAGGACTTTGTATTAAAATGATTTATAACACTGAAAAATATTATCTAACATACATACGCATGTATGTAGATGTGAATGACAACATTTTGTTTCAGTTTTATACATTAAAATTGTTGCTAATTGTTGATAAAATTCCTAGCCTTTAACTGTAGTGGAAAGAGCAAATCAAATTTTGGTTCTTTTTTGGGGGGAACAATTCCAAATTGGTCACTGTAAGTGGTGGAGTGTAAGGATATGAAATATGAATATTATGGGTAATATTTAAAGATCACATGCAAAACTTGTCTTTTGGATTAAAAACATGTTGAATAGTTTACCCGATGATGTGGTGTGTGTTGTTAACTAGATATTTTTCAAAACTTTATTGGATAGCTATATGAATGTTAAAAATTACATTTAGTTTGGCTTAGATGCTTTGGTAGGTAATGGTTACTTCAATGGACCAAATTATTTTTTCCACTTTTCTTAAACTTCAAGTGGTAATAACTTAAGCAAATTTGAATTTAATATGATCAAACAACCTTGCCTTGGTGATATAGTTATTTAAATTTAAATGTCTTCTATATTCTTCAGTAAAAACCAATTAATCAGTAATTTACTATATCAAACTAAAGGTGAATATCTCCATTCTAATTAACAAATCTTCTCAGGGCAAAATAAAGAAAATTCAATATACTCCTATATAGGCTTACTGGAACAGAAGCCTTGTGCTCCAACCATCTCATCACTTAAAAATCTAAATTTCTAACACTCTACAAGCTACATTACGTTAAGCTTTTAACTAGCAAGTTAAATGCTTGAAATTTACCATTGGATAGTTTCATAACTCCATTTGAAAATACATGGCATGCCCTCTTAATAGAACCATTAAATTATGTGAAAATAATAAATTACACATGCCATGTTTAAGAATAATACAATGTGAAACTTGTAATAACTGCAGAAGATGAAATAATATTACAAAGTTGCATTATCTCAGTATTGAAAACAGTGGTGAAATAGACATTTTCTATTCAATAATTTCATTTTGAGTTTACTTACTAATTAAGTATTATTTTATTACAAGTTGTAGCTTGTATACTTGACAATGATCACACTAGTAGTCAGAATGTCATACCTGTTCTAATAAATAATTTTCTTTACTGTAAAAGCTGTAACTTGTAATAGAGTAACTTTCTTATCAAGTCTATATTCAAATGTTTCACATTATTACTATAAACACATAATCTATTGATACCATGAATGGATGTGCCATATTCCCTGACAGTCTTTAGAATTTGCAACTATAAATTTTCAACTATGTTACACTGTGAAGTTGATACACCACAGTCTGATTGTTATAACTCTTCTTGGTATCAACTGTGCCTAAAGTTAGGCATTTTCAGAATTAATTCAAAAGTAAAATCGCATTTGTTATACTAATAGTAATTAAATTAAAAGTGATCCAAAATTGTCAGAGAAAAAGCAATTTCAAACTTAAAAACTAAACTTTTTAACACTTTAAAAATTACATAAACGCGTGCGTGTTTTTGTTTCTTCAAAAAACAAAATCCTCTAGTCTAAATTTAATTGCCAGGAATGACATAGGCCTAGTTGTTTCGGCCGAGCTAGTACTAGTAGAAGAGTTTAGTTAACTCAGTAACTAATATTAATAAATGACCTTAGTTAGTACTTAACTTATGCCTAAGCCTTACTCTCTCTTTTACCTAACAATAACATTAAAGATAATACATAAATATACTTATGGGCGTACGAAGTAAAATTGGGCGGTGCCGATTTTACTATATATATTTTTGTTTTAAGCGTAAGATCAATGTAAGATTTTGGTTAAGTACATACACACGTGCATTTCTTTAAAAATCAAATTAAAAGAAAAACTCATCCTAACGACCTAAGCCCTAGCGCTTCTCATTACATTATTACATTTTCATATTGCACCATTAATTGTCGTATCAAAAATGTCAGCATTACAAGAAAAATTACCGTCCATATACTGATACACAATTAAGTCATTCACCCAATCGTAACTTTATTAGTATTACTTTTTCTTAAGATAAAAAAAATAACGATAAAGCTTACCTTGGAAAAATTAAGTATTAATGAAACGATATTTATCTCAATATCTGTTTATTCAGAACTATGATAGTGAGTTAACAATATAGATGAGCTGACAACTAAAACTGGAATGTTAAATACTATAAAATTATAAAAAGGAGCATAAACTATCTTTCTTCCCTATAGTTAATTAGAAAATGCTATGTTAGTCAAACTTTCTACAAGTTACACCAACGACAACCTAAATCAACCCACTCAAACTAAACTAACATTGCGCATGCGTCATGTCCACTTCCTATCGTAGATGCTTATCACTTTGCTTCGTATGGGGTAAAAAACAAATATATAAAAGAATAACGCCTCAAGACCAGCCCCCAGTAGTACAGCAGCAAGTTTGCTAGTTTACGCGCTAAAAATCGCTTTTCGATACCCGCGATAGGCACAGAGCAAATAGTCCATTATATAGTTTAACGCTTAAACACAAACATTAAAAATCTAACTTAGAGACCGTGATAACGTTTATAGTTGTTATCTGCTATAAAGTACTGAAATAATGTAGAAATAATTTGTACTATAATATAATGAAATTAACTTTATAAAACTCAACTTAGTCGGCTGAAGAAGATTTTCTTTAGTGAATATATATTAGTTTAAAAGAGGGTAAATACCATATTTTTATATAAACTTTTCAAAAGTGAATATACAAAAAAGAAAACGACAACTTAATTCATTTTACTAATTTGTAATACATAAGTTCAGACTAAAAGTATGTTATCTATGAAAAAATGCAATAACTAACAAACTTACTTTAAAATGATCTGGTATTCAGGTCTATTGATTTTCAGTAGGTAAGCTATGAGTTATGCGGGTGAAAATAGCATATTCAGGAAATATTTCGCAAAGATTAAAATCGAACACAAACAGCAAAATAAAAAGACTCACACAGTTGCGTAAACAAAAAATCAATAATTGTACTTGACAAAAAGAGACGAAGTGGGGCTTTACCAGGACTGGCCGGCTTGAGAATTTGGAGGGATAGGCGTCTATACCACATAAAGAATGAAACTAGAACAATGATGATACTACAGTGTTAAGCAAAAAGAAAGCTCCTAGTGTTATAGACCACAGTTTTAGATGGCCTACGTTAACTTTTTTCCTATTATAAGTGTTAAAGTAAAAATAAAATCTCATCCAATACTAACTGATACAAGTTACTGTACCACCCCTCGATTTGAGTACAACCAACACTCTAGGGGAACATTGAAAAAGAAATAAGTTTAAGCAAGTATAAGACTTCACAGAATGACCTCCGAGGTAAGAAACTTTTTTTTTCTTCTAAGCATTAGTACAAGATTAGGACCTTTCTATATACTATATACAAAAATATCAACTAAATAAAGAAATAAATAAAAATACCTGAATATCGATGTATTCTATAATATTATGAAAGGATGAAATTTCAAACTTGTTCTGCCATCACATAAGGTTTGAATCGTGAAAATGCTCTGTCTGTACTTTATGCTGTGAGGATATTATGATTGTGACATTTAATTCCACTGTTTGGTTAAAAATAATTACATTGGTGGCAGGTGCTACTGACTGGTTGTCCTCCATCTGATAAGGTTCTAGATTAGGGATGGATATGTCCATTAACTTTATCAGGATTAGATCCTGTAATTTGTGCAAATTCGATGAGTATTTTAAAGTGGGTGGGAGTAGAGTAGCAGTGTATATCACGTTATAATACGATCACGAGAATTGACGCCTTTCTGAAAACAGGCAATTTTAGAGCTTTGTTATATTTTTAACACTAAATTAGTATAACAGAATAAATTACGCTTAGCATTGTCAAAAAATATGAAGTTTCTAATTAAAGGCATTTGTATTTTTGCCTCAGTCGCAAAATATACCTGACTATGCAAGTGGCTGTATGCCTAAATTTTAGGAGCCTCTAACCTGATCGTTTATCCCAGTGGTTCTCAACGTGGGCCATATGCCCCCCAGAGGGGCCACACCATGTTCCTAAGAGGTTACAAGTGAATGACAGAAAATTAGGAGGCCACATTAAATTCTGAGTGGGCCACCGAAACTTCACTGGCCGAATAAAATATTTAAAATTTATAAATAAATCATTAGCAATCGATGTGTTCGAAGGAAAACGAAGTTTGATTATAAACAAGATTACGACACTTATGATAAACAACATTGTTTATTGACAGAAAGGGGACATGGATAAACGTTTCGGAATTCTATCAGATTCCATCTTCAGTATCTAAAGCAGAATAAATGAATTTACATCAGTTTTTATACATTTTCAAAGTACAGTTGCTAAATATAACGATAATTAAACAAATAAAACACTAAACAGTAATCATGGGGAGAAACTACAGCAAAAAACATAACGAAATGAACTAAAATGAATCAAAGGTTCCCTTCTCCCCGTATCCTTCACAGCTCAGAAGTCAAGTTACCAGACGCGACTAGTACTCAAATAACAATCAAAATGTTTGTCTGGTATTTGTGAATGTTTTCGACTGATTCTCAAGAGCAGCAGAGTGACATAACAGCCCAAGCTAGATTCAAACGTGACAAAGATTATTTCTGAATAAGTAGTGAAATAGCTAATAAGTTTCCACAGCTCTGGGAGAAGGCAAAGTTGTATTTTATCGCTTTTCCCACATCTTATTTGTTTGAATCTGATTTTAGTCGGGCGACTTATTTGCTATCAAAAATACATAACCGCCTTGATGTTTTGAAGAGAGGTGATCTTCGCTTATCACTGACCACACTGCAACCGGACATTCAAAAACTTTCAAGTGCTCATTAGGCCTAAGGATCACACTGAATAAAATGTCAATGATTAACAGAATATTTTTTACTTGTATAAGTAAACAGTATGTTATAAACAAAATATTAAAAACAATTGAATATTGTAAAAACAATATTATAAATCAACAGCGTGGAAATAAAGTAACTTTTTACCTAAGTAACAGCATGTACGAAGGGTGGGGCCACAGAGATAAATCAAAATCAAAAGGGAGCCACGAGTAAAAACAAAGGTTGAGAAATACTGGTTTGGCCCGCGTGCTCCATAAGGTGATGTTGAGATTGAAAATACCATATATTATTTTCGTCTCGATATTATTCACTTCGATTTATCTTAAATTGGTATTGCCTAACTTTTGTAAGTCACCAAAAGTGGTGGCAATACGTTTTTTCTCTTTGGGACGTTTGCTATTATACAATGTGTAATTTTTAATTCTCGTGTCTGTCTTTCCACTGCATTTCTATCTCACTGTATCTTACAGTTTCTCTGTCTGTAATTTTTTAAATAAAATATTGTTACGTCTCCGTTCGTTCGATAATTTTCCGTAAATTCATTCCGACGAAACTTTAGCGACACAAGTCCTTTTGGTAAATAAAACTGGTTTATTTTTTCCGAATACAACTTTACGATACACTTAATTTCAACAGTCGCTCTATAACAACACTATAATTCACGTCTCACGTGGTCAACAATATTTTGTCCGCATACATTCAATTACTCATTACCTTGTTGTCCCGTCACGTTGTGAATGTCTTATATATACAAGACTAACACATATCTAGTAAATGCTAGGGCATTCTTGAAGGAACAGGATATTTCTAGAAAGAGGTGGCGTGATACTAATCACGTGACCTCGCTGACGCAACACTGCGTCCCGAACAATAGCCACTTACAATAAACCAATAACAATTAACAATAACTTAATTAAATGTACAGAATTACAAACACAAAATTACAATTCAACAAAGTCTCTTAATTTTACGGGACGTATCTTCTTCCGTACTGGTCTCCGTCTCGTTGGCTTCTGCTTCACGTGGGGTTCATCTGCTTCATCAGGAAATGTCCCATTATCAGTAGCAGTCACATCAGTGGTAGTAACTTCATCGTTTCTCTTCTC